CATCAAGTTATCTACAATCTGAGTTCATTATCGAAGAGAGCGGGAAATTTTACGTTAAAAACCGTTATAAAAAATGGGGATTTGCTTTGGAACTCAGGTGACAAAATCAAATTTCAAACGTTAAAAAACGTGGTATCAAAGTTTTTTTATCGAAACTAATTTTTTATCGAACAACAACTATTCAGCCTTAATATTTTACATTTACAAGAAAGGTTGTTTTTCCTTACACTTTATAATCCATTGTACAACTAAAATTACAAATGAAAGGGTAATATTTTTAATCCGATTTTGATAATTAAAAATAAGAGCTGTTTCATTTAGATTACAATTTTGTTACTTTGATTTGAGTTTAAAATGGTTTAACAATAAAATTTTTATTGTTTTCGCAGGGTTTAAACGCGTGATAACTTGAAGTACTTTTAATAATTTTTAGATTTAAGAATCTTGTTTCGAGAAAATTAGAGAAAGTCAAGTACTCGTCTTGTGACACAAAAAAAATTTCAACATTTTTCATCGTATTTTTGGCCCACTTATATAATAAGAGAGCGTTCAAAATAGTTTGATTTCTTAAACCAGCTCTTGATGCATTGCACTTGATTGTTGCTCCTAATCCATCGCATGGCCCTTTTCCGTGAGAGGTAGCAAAAAAGTGCCACTCTGCATGGATGCCGCAATCTTCATGATGCAATGATAGATTTTTAAAAGCATTCTGATATTTGAACTATTGTGGAGCACCATCAGAAAAATAAAAAATCTTATCAATCCTTGTGAATGTACTCTTTAAATAATTAATTATTTTTGTTTGAAACATGTAGACAGCAATTGTATTATGTGTGAGACAATCTGACAGGAAAACCATGCTAATATTTTTCAGTTCGCCATTTTGTTTGTAGTAAATAATTACTGGAAATATTGTGCACTAATTGTTGTTTCAGTGAAAAGCTTGAGCTACTTCTTGACAAGTAAACGCATAATTCTCAAAAAAATCAAGCACAATAAGAAACTCGTTTTCTTTCAAGTTATTTTTCAGTTCAATGTAAAATTTACTTTGTGATTTCGAAACAAAGTCATGAGGCACCAATTTTTCCAAACGTTTAATCAAGTTCTCGATACAGTCTTCAATATTGCATATTACTTTCAGTAGTGTACATAGTTTTTCAATACACCAAAATTTATATTAAATTTCAGTCATTGATGATCGATCGAAAACTTGCAGTACTTGTTATCTTAAATTGTCGATTGGTGTGCAGTTTTTACGTTTTCGAGAAAAACACTCTTCTGTCCGATCAATGCACACCAGTTTCAAGAGCAACTGTTTGTATAGCGATTTTTTATCACCTGCATTGTTAGTCCATTCGTTATTTTCAAGCAAAGAGAATAATTTACTTCCTAAAACTAAAAAATAATGAAAAATAAATAAAACCATAAAATTTTTTTTTTCAATTGGAGCATGAATTGTTAATTAAGTACTTTTTAAATAATATAAGAAATTTTAAATGGTATTCTGTTTTGATATTTTATTCTTAAAGTAATTTTTTATTTTTAAAACAAATTTATGAAAAGTTCTTACCGTTCAACATTTATTTAACATTTTAATGATACGTGCAAACACACACTGTATGTGTGCCACTACTTCCAGCCAATACACAATGTTGAGGTCTTAAAAGAGTGAATAATGTTAAACCAATTTTGTGATAACGGAAAATTCTGCTTTAAACACTTCAAATAGATACTTCAAATTCAACAATATTATCTTCTTTGGCACTAGATGCCTTTCTATAGTTAAATATTTTACAGATTGGACATTTTTTTTCCAGGCAATTGACAAAAATTGTCTTCTCGTTCATAAAAATCAACAACATCTTTTTTTATTTAAGTAGATTTTTCTGATTTTTCTGTTTTCTCATAAAAAGTATCAACATTATTGTTTTCTTTTAGCATTGCTTTCTTATTTCGAATGAAATTGGTCCAACTTGAAAAATTTCTCTAATCTTTGATTTACCCATTTTTTTGGAAAATACTTAATAACAAATTAATTCTTTTTCTAAAAGTAACAATAAAATGAAAAGTCACAGTCTTTCAAGTTGCGAGTTTTAAATACATCAATTATTTGCATTAATTATTATATATTTACTTGTCAGTTTCTGATTGGAGAAGATCTTGGGTGTTTTCAATAATTTCATAAAAATTCTCTGCTTTTTTATCGTTTTCGGATTTAGGGTCAACATCAAAATTTGAAAAAAAAATTTTTCTCACTTCTATAATGACTTCTTCGTACTTCCTTTTGAAGCAAGACTTTTGATCACATCTGCACGATTATCATAATTATTTGGAAATAAATTACATTGTGTAACTTAATGACAAAAGGGTGAGTAATATACGAGTGCGTTCTAATTTTACTTGACATATTTGTCACTTTACAACCTCTAAATAAGCGCGGAATCGAGTACTTATATTACAACCTCGAGGAATGACAATTTTATTTGTTATAAACACAGAGCTTACTGATATTTTTGTACTTCAGACATGTTCAAAACATTTTCCATTGATTGCGTCAAGCATTCATAGGAAGATTGACTTTTGAGAGTTTGACTTCCAGATTCTTTTCGACAAGCCAAGCATATAAACTATTACCTAACGCTTCAGGAAACTGAATTCTCACATCATCAGTTACTTTTCTCAAATCAGCCTGATTCGGATCGTCTAACATACATTAAGTTCTTTGTTTTAACAATTGCATGTAATAACTTCCATATAGGTTAACTAGAGATAAATGTACTAACGAGCTAATTTTCGAAATGGATTAAGACATCTTTTACGAGAAGGCATAATGTCAGAGTAATTTTTAAAGATAACACTTATTTTTTAATGAAATGGTGCTTTTTTCAATGCGGAAATAAGGATTCAGGTAGAAGTAAACATTAGAATCGCATGCCACAGTACCTACACAGTGACGTTTGCTATGAGTCTGCAGAACAAGTAACCAAGAAGCAAGAGAGCCACCTGCAATCAGTAAAGAGTACTACTGAAAGAACGCGGTTTGTTTTTTAAATGTTAAGAAAATTTTATTTTTAAGTTTTACAATGGATTATAAAGTGTACAATTCTTGAAAAAAATGTATTTCAAAAATAATGCTTTAGATGAATGTAAAATATTAATGCTAAATAGTTGTTGTTCGGTAAAAAATTAGTTTCGATAAAAAAACTTGANTTTTAAATGTTAAGAAAATTTTATTTTTAAGTTTTACAATGGATTATAAAGTGTACAATTCTTGAAAAAAATGTATTTCAAAAATAATGCTTTAGATGAATGTAAAATATTAATGCCGAATAGTTGTTGTTCAGTAAAAAATTAGTTACGATAAAAGAACTTAAATACCACGTATTTCAACGTTTGAAATATAATAGTTCATTCAAATCACTATACATTTATCTGTACTCAATCTCAAAATTTTTTAATTTCAAATCATTGCTTTTCAACACTCACAAGTAGTAAAAACATAAATGATCCAAATATTCTGATAAGAATCCGTAAGAGTTTATCTTTTTTAAACAATAAATTACATTATAATGCAATATCAAAATTACAACTTTAATAATTTTTAACAAAATTATAACATCTTAACACAGTTAAAACTTTTAACACATGATGTCAAGTACTAATATTAACTGACGTAATTTATACCATCAGTTTTAATTTGTTATTTCTTTTTGTTTTTAAGTACACAATATTTTTTTAGTTAATAATTTCCACCCAACACGATTTTTCACTTACAAATTGGTTTCATTATTATTTTTCATAAGGATAAAATTAAAAAACATTCTGTGAGCGATTTTGAATCAATGTCTCAGAAATTGCTCAAAATTGAACCACATACTTCTTACCATCTGCTGAAACAACTCACTAATTTTTAGCCAAAAATATCACGTACAGCCATGGTTATAGACTGTTCCGTAAACTTTGCATTTTTTTTCAAAATTTTTTCTCATAGCTCTAATAATACTAAAAAAATTTTTTTTTAACTGTATGCGGACGTAAGATTTCTTGCTGTTTCTAATGGCGATGTCTATTTTGTCTTTTCTCTATAAATACTATAAAAAAATTGATTTAAAAAAAAATCAATTTTTCAGTGTTGTCCCATCAAGTTGGCTAAAATCTGAGTTCACCATCAGAAAGAGCGGGCAATTTTACGTAAAAAACAGTTATAAAAAAATAGGGATTTGCATCGGGACTCAGGTAAAGAAATTAACTGGATACAATTAACTGGAAACAATTAGTCTTAACTATTTTTTACTTCAGTTTGAACAAGTAAGTACATTCTTTATATTTATAACACTGCCCTAACTTGGTAAGATTTATTTAAAATTCAAGGTTAATAGGTAAAAAATCAGATAGATAATAAAGAATTTAATATCTAATTTTTCGTATGTGGTCTTCGAATCACGATAAATCTCATTAAATTTAGGCCTTTTCTATTTACTAGAGAGTAAGAAATTATAACTGTTCGTAAAATAAAAAGTTTACTTTTAAATAATCTTTAGTTTACATTAAGTTTTTTAGTATTCTACTTAATCAACCTATATTGATACATTTCACTTAAAATAGTACATTCTATGCATTTTGACGACAAGAAAAAGGTTGACGCACATTCATTTTATATTGAAGAATAATTTATAGTTAATGCTCAGTTCTGAATAAACATTACCAGAGTAGAGCTATATTTATTCTTTAAAGTGTCAAGAATATATATTAATCTCTCTTTTTTAAATAAAATATCTAGTTATTTAAGAATCTTTGCAAACATTATATTCTTTTAGAATTAGTTTCTCATAGACATTTTCGTTAATTTTTTGTTATAACTAGTCATTTGAAAGACTTACGAACTATTTCAAAGTTTATGTTACTGTTTAATATTCTGATATTTTAAGCTAACGAACTATTTCGTCGTCAAAAGTAACTGTTTCAATTGCATAATATTTGTAATTTTTTTTTTTCTTAAGGGATCGCCTGGTTGCCAATGACTTTATTCAAGTTCGAAAAGTTGCTGAGCATGTATATGATAAAGTTCTGGGTACAGGAAGTGACTCAGGATCAGTTGCTGGTGGTAATACAGTATCTGGAGGTTTACCTGCTGGTGACCATGCTAATAGTAACGCTAATGCTGATAACTCATCGCTTGCAGAAGAAAAAGTGGAGTTATTGTGTAATGATCAAGTCTTGGATCCATCAATGGACTTAAGAACGGTAGGGCATTTTAAATATTATATTAAAAACGCATAAAGTACTAAACTTCAAGAAAAAATTTATTAACGTGCGTGTTTTAAATGAAATTATACAAAAATAAAGGTTTTTTTTTTTTTTTGTAACAACCAGTAAAATAATATAACGTAGTATATGATTTATTAAATATAGTAGAAACTGCAGCCATCTACTATTTTGACTTCTTAAAATCAATAGTTTTGTGTCTAAAAGACAACATTTGACCGTATGAAATACACGTTATATTTATAATAGATTCGGTTCTTTTATAAATCGGTCAAAACTCCTAGAAGGTTGAACGGCTTTCAACACTTACCCTAAAAGGTTTTCAAACAACAGTCACACAAAATAAAAGATTTTTCTTATCAATATATAAAAATATCGAGAGTAAGTAAGTCTTTAATTCCAATTAAATGGCATTCACTTGTTTCAAAAGTATTTTGGTTGATGAGAAAAACGTTGATTGAACTGTAAACATTGTGTATATATTGTACGTTTTATAATGTGTACTTGAATTATATGAAAAATTATGCAAATAACAAGTTGCTTAGCCTTAAGTGACTCTTTATTATTTAATCTGTTAAAGAAAAACTTTTTTCTTACTTTATGACATTAATGATAAGTAATGATACTGAAAAAAAGCAATTATTTTTCAAAACCCTTAAGTAGTTAATTTTTGTTATTTAATTACAAGTAAAAAAGAGATGATAGCTGCTCCCGAAAATCAAATTTTTCCTGACAGTTTTGAAGTATAAAATACATCTTATGCGTATGCATATTCTAATTCATGTTTTATTGTAACTACAGTGCAACTTCCATTGAATAAATTTTAAAGATCTCATACGACGTTTAATATAATGAATATTACAAAACTAATATCTAATTTGCAATCAGTGACTTCAAAAACCTCTTTACATGATTCGTCTGTAAAGTTAAAACTCATCACTGCTTCATCATATTGGATCCACTTTTTTGTTTTTCACACGTAAAATTAGCAGATTTGGCATCGGATTCGTAATTTGTAACTTTGACACCCTAGTTACTCGTTTTTAATTGAAATAACACTTTAATGACTTTTTCATTCGCCATATTTAATCTGCCATATTAAATTTACCAAATCTCATAATGGATTCGTGATTAGCAGTCTCAAAATCCCTGTACACAAGTGTCTTATGAAATTAGATAACTTAAAACACGTATGATTGTTTTCGTTTTGTAAGAAGTGCTTTATTACATTTAAAATTAAATTTATTAAAATGCTCGAATTTTCTTACATTAATCATCAACTTTATGTTGTAATTTTTTTACGTTTTAAAAATTTCATGATTTTTTATTACATGTTTACGATACAAAAAGGAGGTTGTTACCCCTAGAAAAAATGGTATGCAACCTTTTCTTCCTAAATTTACGATGGATTGCTAATTATTTACACGAGAAATAATCATGTTTTATTTAAAATATATGCAGTTAAAGCCTATATATTTAAGAAAAATAGTTGTTGGTGAGTAAAGTTTAATGACGGTTTTACCTTCTCAGTAGGGGATTAAGCCGATGAAAGAATTACGTGTCTTATTTTTCCATTCTCTACAGCATATCAGAATTTCAGAGAAGGTGAAAGCTAACACCTCAGAGGGTGTCCTCGTTAAAGTATTCATTACTTAAAAGCGAATATGACATGTACAAAAGTGCAGTCACCCTGACAAAGAAAATGGCGATGCTTTTACTTGTGAATGGTCGATTTTAAAATGTAAAAGACTTGAAGATTAAAACAATAAAGTTCATACATGACTAAATATATATAATAAGTTTTTTTAGTTAAATAATAGATCGCTAAATTTTCTAGAATCACATTTTGAAATGGTTACGGCATGAGCTCACCGTGACCTTCTTCAATAGCCTTAAGTTTATGACGACTCTACAGCTTTTTTTTCCTTTGGCCTGGCGTTTTCCAGTACGATCGATGTGTTACAGCTATAAAGCGATTTAAATGGCCCGATTATACCTTAACTTAATAATTTGTTGAATTCTATCTGCATTTACTCCCTTAACTTTACTGGGTATATTGCTCTCTTTGCAGTAATGGGTCTATCCATTGTATTTTGTATTCTATGTTTTAGTATATCAGTGCCAAATGCGAGAGGGTTCAATTCTATCACTTCTTTTACGTGCCTTGGTTCTTCTTCGTGGTCGCTTGATGGGTTAACAAGTTGCATTATTTTGTCGACCGAGGCTTGTATACTTGCTTTTTAGCTAATATTTTTTACCTACCTGTCGCTGTTATTCTTTTCATTTTGCTAATCTGACCAACGTTCATGTACTCAACTTTCTACTAATTTATCATTGTTTCCTGCTATTTTTTAAAAGTTTTCGCTTGATTTTGAATTAAAAATCCTATTATCACTTTCCGTAAGTCTTTAGCACAGTTCCCTCCGATGCCAAATCGTTATGCTCTTCGCGTAGCTTCGCATACTATAAAACGCCCGAATAAAATTTCCTTTTTCACATTTTATAAGAAAATCCACCCAACTTGAAAATTGTTCTTAGTTTTATTCACGTGCGCAAATATTATTGTTTTCGTTCTCGCGAGAATCTCAAAATATTCCAATTCGAACAGAAGAATCTCGGTGCCGGTTAATATGAGTACTTTACTTTTGGCGCTCATGAGACCATCTTATAACTCCAACGTATTCCAGACTATGATCCCTTCTGTTTTCATCGGAAAAGTATCGGAAACTACATCCAAAGTTACTCTAATACCGTTAAGAGGTATTTAAATTGTTTCTAACATGCAGTGTACACCGTGTGCCATGCAAATTATTAGAACTCTATCTCTACTATTTATGAATACAAGCGTGTCTGCCGTGAAACAACTATTTTTTATAATAGAGATTTCAGCACTAGTATAAACGTAAAATTTTGCGTCGTTTACTTTTAGTTTAGAGCTGTTTAAAAGTGCTGAAGGAAGTGGTACCGCATGCCCTGGATACTCTTATCTTAACTTTGTGAAGAAATTCTCTTCCATCTTTATTTTCTGGACTTTGTGTCAGCATTGCGTGCTCAAGATGATTATTATTATTTTATATGCCTGTAATGTAATTATCTGAATTACGTTGCGCCTTCTTTGCGTTGTGTATATACTCTTCGTTGCCTGCGTTTGCGCCATTGGTGACGCGCGGCTCTAAGTGTTTTTCCCTTGGCGATTCCTACTTATTGCCTGCTGGCCCTACCTCTTTTCCGAGCGTACTTGTTACCCCTTTCTTTTGCTACTGCGTTCTGCTTGGTGTTTGAGGGGCATGGTTAGCGTCCTGTGAATTTGAAGGCTCCATAAGGGAATTTTTCATTTTATTAGTAGGCTGACTACTACATAAAGATTTTGGAACGCGCGTGTATAGATTTAATGTATCGTGTGATTTGGTGGTGTTAAAATTTGGTTTTGCATATTTTCATACCTATCGCCCATTTGATGTGAATTAATTTTATCTATGAATTTACGTGCATCTGTCCTGTTCGATACAGTATGATTTTCAGTAAAGTTGTTATCTGTGTTTGTTACGCTATTGTATTAACTTTAGCCTGTGTCTCTTTACGAGTGGCGGTCGTTGTCTTTCAGTTTTTTATTATGTTATTTCTATTCTTTTCGAGTCAATGAGGTCAATGTATAATTCGCTCTGGGGATGACTCTATTTTCCGTCGTATAATTTGTTGGAAGAATTTGTTGTTGTAATGCATTCATAAGGATTTCCTGACTTCGAATTCGTTTTTTGTCTTACTATTTTCGTCGCGAGTTTTTTTATCGTCTTTATTATGAATAACCTCTAATTTACTGGCCTTCTGTCTCTCTGCCATGATTCTCGATCATGTTATAGTTTAATTTGTATCACCTTGTTGTCTGTGTCGTCCAGTCTGTTTCTCATATGTCCGTGCACCGGTTGTCTTTCTGTACCCTTCTGATATATCGTTCGCTTCTGCAATGCTCATTATGTGGGCCTCTGGTTTTTTGTTGTATATAATGAATCTTTTAAGTTTTTTTTTTTTTATGTTCAGTTCTGTGAGACGCGTTTCTTATTGTGCATTTTGGGTTTGCTTGATAGGTATGTGTACTCTTAATTAACATTGTTTCAAGAGCTGCTCAGGAAACTACTTTTTCGTTTTATTTCCAATTCACGGCTCTTTTATTTATTTATTAATTATTTTTTTGTAAAGGTTGTGTGTCCCTTGTAAATCACGTTTACAATTATGCATGCAATTATGTGCTGCGACAACTGCGCTTAAAGTTTTAGATTTAGTAAGAATATATCAATTTATGGAACTTATCTCTTTGGGCGCGTATTTTTCTTGGAGGTTATAAAAATAGTATATAAAAAGCAAACCAAAATTCATTTACCAGATCGCCGTGATGATGGTTAGTATAATGGTAATCCTGTTTATGCTTATGAATTAGCCTTTTGATCCTTCTGTAAGTTGACTGGCATCTGCTTTCTTTCGTTATTCCTCTCTTTTGTGTAGTGTATCCCGTCTCCCGTATGTGGCTCCTGTCCAGGTTTGGCATACCGTGTTCACTTTTCATCCATATTTCCATGGGTTTGGTAATTAGCAGCTGCCTCTAGCATTCTGGTATATTGGTGTGCTGGCTTGATGCACAATTGTTTCCTCTTATTGTTGAACTAGTTTTCTAGCACTGTTGAACTCCCAGATATTTTCTTTATTTCTTTCTACGCTTTTTCTGGTTTCCTTATGTTATGCCGATTAACAAGCTGAATTTAGCGTTTGGTACCTTTTCCATTTTTTCCTGCACTTTGCAATGAGAAATATTTCTTTTCTTTTCTATTTTATTCGCTGATGAACAGAAATAATTTTTTTTCTTGAGTTTTGCAAGATTCAATATTTTCCACGCTTGATACAAAATGTAAAAAAGATTTTGTCTGTTTCCAACTTCTGACATCAGCTTCGGTCTCGTAGGCCTGGCACTGACGCTTTCGTGTCTC